AGGTGAGTGAGGTGAGTGAGCGAGTTCACAACGCTATTCCAAAGGTGTGTCTGTGTAGATGCCGCGAAAGACGTCCACCTTTCTCTCCTTAACACTTGTGATTGTTGCATGCACCTCCGCAGTGGTCATGGCAAGGGTCGTCGTGGAGTGCAGTAGTACCGTGCATTGGATACGAGAGGAGATCGTATTACCACGCTTGCTACCTAGCCTCATGCTGTCTCTTACTTAAGGTAAAGGGAGGCTATACGTTGAAGGATGCTCTGGAACAAACCCAATTCGCTTAATTACAGATTTCATTTGGGTCAAATATCGCCGTAGAGAATTCACTCCTCTCTTTTAAACCATGTTATCCGTCGGGGATGATTCTACATGTCTTGTATTAAATTGTATGCACTGGCCTGCTTTGAAAAGAGAAATAGGCCATTCTTTTACCAACGTGCACTGTTCTCACATACTCTTTCTTTCGACCGTTAGAGATGAAAAACAATCGCATTATCAACACACATTGATATGCTTGGGACAAGAAAGACGCCATTTATGACATTATCAAATAAATATTGCATACAAATGGAGCGAGAGAGTATGGAAAATAGATTACAAATTCATCGTCTTGGCATTGTTCGGAGCATTTTTGCGTTTGCGTGTCCTCTTCCTCGTTCTCTGGAAGACAAAACCGTCCTCTGTGTCGGTTTCTTCCATCCTCTCAGCTGAGTCAGCCATCTCACCACTTACCGAAGTCATCGGAGGCGGCAGGGCTGCTGCCACGGTTTTAGCGAACGTGGTGATAGCAGCGTCCTTGCTACTAGCTTCTCCGGGAACTAGACGTCTAGAGGGTAGATGCCATGGATTTGTTGAATTTCTCACTTTGGACCACACCCTGGATTTCGCTTGCAGTGGCGAGCCGTGTTCCGACACCTGTAACTGCACCAGTTAGAGCCAACTTTCGACCAAATAAATACTATTTAAATCCTAAAACCCAGCGATTCCGGTAGAAGTAGAACATCTTAAAGGAGGTAGAAATGATAGTGGTGGAGGACTAGATACATATCCTTCTAATAAATTCTCTTGGAATGGCACGTCTAAACTAAAAGCAGCAGATAAGGAGCGTAGAGAAATGCAATCTTGGCCTAGACGGATCTGAGCTGCTGGTATCTGCAAAAACTGTCCTAAAATAGTTTTTTCACGACAGAATATGTGATGCTGATGAAGACGCATGAAAAGCTTGGTGATACCGTACCTTTATGTCAGCAATGTTGTTGTTGGTCTCCGCGCAACTATTGATGCCATTAACCACCTTTTCGGAGGTCTAAAAAGTGATAATCAGTCTTAGTCTATTAACACAAGGAAAGGACGCAAAGTTAAAAACGAAGAGAATGGGAGGGATCAGAAGAAATATAATCAAAGGTACATGATGATCAGGACTGTTGGAGTTAGGTGACTAGAAGACGGTGAAAAACTGGCCAATCGTGACAAAAAATGCATAGACAGAAGCGCTCACCGGCAGCCTCGCCCACATTGCCGGCGCGGAGGGATGACAACAATCGCCGATAAAGCGCTCAGCAGCGTCCGAAGTGAGCGGGGCAGGGAGGAAGCGACGAAAATGATCCACCTTCGCAAGGTGAACTCGAGCCAAACAGTAGGTGAGAGGGAGGAGACTGGGGAATCGCGAGTTCCAGTGCTGCGCCATTGCCGTATCGCTTGAGCCCAGCACATCACGCACAGTATTGCGAAGGGACCAAATGTGATTCCTTTTGTTTCGAATTGCTCGCAACAGTTGTGTCAGTGATTTGTCCTGTGATCAAATAGAGTTTAATGGAGCCTTGGGGATACGGGGTGCATAAGGGAGTTCTGCGTGTTTTAAATGTGGTTCCGGTGTATACGTCCGAATGCCAAACGATCTGCCTATTTGTTTACCCAGTAGACTTTCTGTTCATTACTCGCATGGCTGGTTTTCCTCTTTTTCCCATAGCTGAGTGTTCAACACGGCTCTTACAAAAAAATGCCACGAACCGGCACCACATTTATCGCACTGATATGAATGAGGAGACTCGGGCATAATTACGTTCAAGTTGTACCTCTGATCAGTTAATGAATGTAATCCAGCGAGGAGCGTTGGACTCTACCCACTCACAACCACAATTTTTCGAATAGTCGACTCGCAAAATTTGTTTCTCTTGCGAAACTCTACTAGTGATTGCATAAGTAGTAAATATGTTGTAGCAAATCCATTAGTTTTTTGTGTTCAACTAATCTGTAACTTCAACGCAAAACAACAAGTAACTACTTCGTTATTCGTAAAGCAGATAAATACTGTATCAAATTAGAGCGGTGACGCGGACAACATGTCAACACTCGATTGGTAGAGGACGAGTAGCCAATAGGCGACACCGTCTCTACACGAAGCCCACATTGACCTAGATGGGTGAAACAAACTTGTTTTAAATAACATCAAAGCACTATAATTGCATAAGTAGGGTCATATTTGTAGGCTATAACCCATGACTAGGCCGTTATTACCAGTCGTCGTGACCTATGCCAAACATATGCGTTAAATTCCAATCAAG